TGGGGGAGTCACTGTTCCCCCAAGCACAGCCAGGAGTGACCAGGAACAACGGTCACAAGCTAGCAGAGGGTAGATTTAGGTTAGACATCAGAAGGCGCTATTTCACAGTCAGGGCGGCTAGGGTCTGGAACTAACTTCCAAGGGAGGTGGTGCAGGCTCCTACCCTGGGGGTTTTTAAGAAGAGGTTAGATGAAGACCTTGCTGGGGTCGTTTGACCCCAGTACTCTTTCCTGCCATGGCAGGGGTTGGACTAGATGATCTTCTCAGGTCCCTTCCGACCCTAGAAACTATGAAACTATGAATCGAATCAGCACCTGAAGCTTCGCACAGCCCTACTACTGGGTATTAAGCAGACCCTCAAACGCCTGGCTAGCGTATCTTGATTATGTACTCATGGTCCAACAGATCACTAGCTTTATGGTCAGGAAGATATTTTCCCTGTCCTAGGACAGTAAGAACATTCTTTGTAGCCTGGCGTTTCCTGCCATTGCTGGCCTAGGTATTTATTGTGCCTTTATCTTACCGGCCATCTTCCAGTGGGATGTGGTAGACTTTTCCTGTTGGGTCCTTTGTGGAAGAAAGGAAAGTGCATTTCTTTGTGAGTGAACAGTTTTGAACAAATGGTTACTTGTCAACACAAAGTTAGGCTCAATGTCCTAGGGTCCTTTCCAGTCCTATGTTCTTGTATTGACTGTCGTAGACAGGATGCCAAAAGGAGTAGCAAGTCCAAGGTGTCACCATCTGCCAGATCTCCTGGGTATATGCAGGGTTCGAAGCCAAAGAAAGATGCTACCCAAGACTTGCTGTGTTGACAGCTGTGATACACAGGGCCCATAAAATGGCAGGGGATGAGGGCAGAGTTAAGGTTGCTGCACGTGACATTTCCAGCCTAGTACATACTTGGATTTTCCCCATGGTTTTGCATAATATAGGGCTAGACTACAAACTCTCAGAGGCAGGGCCCAGCTTTTTCCCAAAACACTTGTTTGTAGCTCCCCAGCATCAATCTTAAAGCCAAGGGAAGAATGGACAGCGGCACATCTGGTAATGGGAAATTCTGGTGCTCCAAACAGCTGCTGTGGCAGGGCCTGGGCTGATAGGTTTGGAAAAGTGCCAGCAGCAACGCCCCCATGCTCAGCTCTGGTATGCATTTGTACAGCACCTGGCCTTTAGGTCCTCAGTCTTGTTTGGGGCTGTAGGGGCTCCTACAGTGCTAACAGAAAAACAGGATTCTCCCCTGTGCTTCACCGGTTCTGAGCTAATCCAGTAAAACCAGTGAGGTTGTCCAGGAATAAAGCTGAGAAATCAGGTCCTGGGTTCAGCCTTGCATAAGTGACAACTGCTCCATGGTATCATTTCCTCCTTATCCCAGATGAGAATCCTAGGGCCTGATCTGATCCTTCTGGAGCCCATACAGATGGGACCATCCCAGCTGCAGCATGATGCTACCATGTGCCACATAGGTACAGCCAGGAGAGAATCCCTGTATGCACTGACTTTTCCCATGGCTCCTACCCAGGTCAGAGGGTATAGCCTTCTGTGTGCCTGCATACCCCCATCCCTGTTGCTGCATTCTCTCTCCACATGCCTTTCAACTGCTGGGGTATAGGTGCCTTTGGTACCTATCAAAACACCAGGCTGGGGGAGAACTCACCATCCCAGCGCCTGCTGCTTGGGTCAGGGGAGAGCTCGGCTGGGAGCCCTAATTACCAGGAAAAGCATTGTTTCATGCAAGGGCAGTAAGGAAGAACTCAGGACCTTGCCTCTTGTGGGGCTTTGGGGAGAGGGGAGGGCAGGCCCTTGAGGGAGCCATGTAGCTCCAGGCTCCAGAGCTGCCCATTCTTGCTCTGTGAGTCCACCCTCTCTTGTGAGGAGGGGGGAGAGGAGGGTGGAGCCTGTAATATTGCCAGATACGGGAGCTGTCACATGCAGAATCTAGGAGAGACTGAGATCGACTGGATCTGGACAGCGAAGTGGAGCCAGGGCCAGTGCCCAGGGAAAGGAGCAAGAGAGTGGCTGGAGGGAGCACCTGGGACTGTCCAGGTGGGCAGGGTCGGGGCTGGAGTGGGAGTCAGGTGGAGCAGAGCACAGAGAAGAGACCAGGTAAGGCACAGGACAGTGAAGAGAGAAAGAGCATGGCAAGGCAAAGTGGGACCTGAGGGGCTAAGCTAGCCAAAGGGTGCAGGGGAAGGCTCAGGTGGATAAGAGAGCAAAAGGAGCAAGTTTCAGGGGGTTTCATTGAAGCCAGGTGTACCATTGTGATCTCAGAGAAGGAGTAGCAGGCACCCCTGAACAGTTCTGCTGTGGCAGAGACACAGAGGAGGTGCTGCACTGATCTGCTCAGTTTGCACTGAGCCAGGACGTGACTTGGAGTGGGTGCCGAAGCACAGGTCCCTCTCTAGTGATGAGGCCAGTGTGGCAGCCCCCCAGAGCCCAGACGCTGCTGCTCCTGCTGGCGCTGCTCCTAGTTCCTCAGGTAAGTGCAACCGTGGGGTCTTTGCATGTGCTGGGGGCTGGATGAGTCAGGGGAGGGGGTCCATAGTCAGGGTATATTTGTGTGGGGGGGAAGCAGCTGTTCCTGTTCTGGGCAAGGGGGCCATGTTAGCTGCACATTGTACCCACCACATGGGAGGGGTACCATGGGGCAGCAAGTGCAGTAGGGAAGTTGTACCCACCCTGGAGCCCAGCTTTCCCTGTGACCTCCTGGCATAGGGCCAAGCCAGGGGTTCAGCAGATCTCAACTCTGCAGCTTACAGACACTGGCTAACTTGGCTACAGTTAGATGGTGCAAGCAAAGCCAGAGCAGGATTGGGTCCTACTTGGTCTATTCTCCAGTCAATTTATCCATCTCCAGAACAGCACTAAAAAATGACTGAGCAAATGCCCGGATGCTGCCTTTTGGCGTGGGAGGAAAACTGAGTGGGCAGCTCCAGACTGTTCCCCTCTGCCCCCCGGCCCTTTTGCACACTCTCTAGCCAAGGGCCAGCCCACAGAGCTGCTGTCTCTTTCCTTGACCTGTGCCCTCCCCTCCCTGTGGGCTCAGGAGCTGCTTGGGGTGGCCAGGGAAGTGCCAAAATCCCAAATTGGGATGGCATTTCAACTGCTAGATGTGGTGAGCCAGGCAGGGAGACTGTCTCACCCCCCAGCACACAGAGTTGTCTATGTTCTCTGTCTCTCAGCCAAAGGAGCAGGGATTGCTGGAGCCAGGGAATGCCCCATGCCCTCCACAGTGGAACGATCATGCCCACGGACTCTCTTTGTGCACTGGCTAATGCAATGAGGGTGAAGTGGAGCAGAACTTGCTCTGCACAAAAGGAACCCAGCATTGAGGTCTTGGGTGAGGGCTGCCAGCAAGGTCCCAGTCAACTGTGGGACCTCCTGGACCTGAGGAAGGAATACAGGGGGTGGAGGGACTCGAACTTCTGAAGGGCGGTAGAACAAAGAGCAACAAAGAAATTACCTCTGCTGGCCCCAGAGAGTGTTGTGGGAAGGGAAGAAGGAGGTCTTTGGCATCCTGTGCCACTCCCTGTTGGGGCACATAGGATTTGATTTCAAGCCCCCCTGAACCACTGCCTATCTGATTTATGTATAGGGCCCCCTCACCTCATAGTCTTTACAGGTTTTGCCCCAGGCTATCTCCATTTCACACATGAGAACTGATGCCCAAAGGGTTACGTGACTCCTCCAGGTCACACAGAAGCTACAGTGGAGCACACTCAGGCTTCCTGAGTGCCAGACTACTGCTCTAACCACTGTATATGCTTTTCCCACTCTCCCTAACTACCCCAGCATGCCAGTCTAGTTCTGTTTTCTTCTGATCATAGGGAGTCGCTCAGGAGGGAGCTGCAGCTGGCACCAGCCCCCAGAGAAGCAGGGTCATGCTCCACCCTGCCCTCCAGACAGCCCTGCCTTTGCACTGGGGCAGGCATGCTACCTCCTGGGATGGCAGCAACCCCTGGGAGACTCCTGTCTGACTGAGGCTGGAGATGACCAGGCTTTGTGGGGGGAGAGACGGGGGTAGAACAGGGACACAGTAGTATGAAGTGACCTGCTAAGTCTTCATTGTGCTGGTTCAGCTTGCCAAGCCCCAATCCCTGTGCCCTTTGGGGTGATACCACTCTAGGCTACCAATGCCCTGGACCCTAACTCAGATAGTGCTTCCCCACAAGGGGTGAACAAGGAGTGTCTCCCTGCATGTCCAGCATCCCTACTCCTCTTTTATGTCCCCAGCCCTGCTGTTCTGTCCCTGTGTGCACCTGCTTTCTCTCTGTGTGCCCATCTGAGCCAGTGTGTGTGTGTGTGTGTGTGTGTGTGTGTGTGTAGGGGGGAGGGTGTCCTATTTTGCTGTTGCCTTGTGCCAGCAGCAAATGACTCACATGAGGCGTGAAGGCGTGGGGAAGATACAGTGCCCTGGAGGGCTGTCACTGAGGTGAAGGATCTAGGTATTACATTTTGCTCAGGGCTAGGCTCAAGACACAATGTAGGTCTCTAGGGTAGCAAGGTCCCAATAGAGTCAGATGCTTTTGTTCTGGGATGCCCAGTGTGGGATATTTTAAGGTCATTGTAACCATTTACAGGAGGGATCAGTGACAGTAATCTGAGGCTGAGTTATTTTAACTGTCACAACATAAGCCATAACTGTAACAAACTTCAATGCTACCCCTAACCCTATGGCTAAGACTAACCCAAGGTATCTTTGTCTCTGACAGCTAACCATAGCCTTCAGATTTCTCAAGCAAAGCCATAAAAAATCAGAGGGTGCGTATAAAAAACATGACAGTAACAGAGCCCAGCTCCACAGCAACTCTGTGGTTGGAAGAAGCTGCCTGTATTCTTTCATTATCAGAGCCAGGCTGTTGTTGAAGCAATGCACAGAAAGTCAGAGTTGTTTCTGCCAGGTAGAACTCTCCCAGCCTCCTGCCTTGAGAGGGAATTTGTTTCCTCTGTCAAATAGTTACTCCAGGGAGTAGGAACCTCAAAGATCTCCCAGGCAGGGCTTTTGCCGCCTGTGTTGCTATACCTGTGCTTGCAGGGAGCCAGGGTGTGAGCTGCTGAGCAGAGATGCTAGTGAAGCTCTGAAATCAATACCAAATTCCTGGATGGTCAGCAATGCTATGGTCAGCAATGCTGGATGGTCCGTGAATTCCAACTCAGTTCTAACAGCTGGTGATTCCAGTGTTACGTACAGAAAGAGTCGCTTGCTGAACTTTAGGACAAAATGCAGCAGTAGCTGCTTCTCAGGAAATACCAGACAGGAGCAACTGCTAACAGAGGAAAGAATGCTTCCTAAGAGGGGTAAACGCAGAGCACGAGGGCATCTGCTGATAGAGTTGAGTGTAAGACAGAGGTAGGCACTAGGCAACCCCTGGCACAGGTGCCAGAGTGTGGCACACGAAGACATTTTGCTTGGCATGCATGCCTTTGGGTGGATGGAAGGGAAGGGGCCGGGGCTACATGGCCACCACAAGGATCAGGCCCTTCGTGGCTCCCCTGCCATCCACCCCTGGCACACCAACATGTTACAGGTTGAAATTGAAGGTGTTTTTGGCACTCTGCCCAAAAACGTTGCCGACCCTGTAAGAGTACTGTCCAAACCTTTTCCCTACTAAGAGGCACATATCGGGGTGACTGAAATGAACTGCAAATCAGTGTTGTATTCATGACATCATTTGACTCCCTCCCCTTAAAAAGCCCCAATAATTTCAGAAAGTTTAATTTCAACATTTCTGACAATTAAACCATTGGAAATTTCATTTTGACACATTTCATACCAAGAGTTGCCTAAAATTTAGTATTTTTTAATGAAGAAAAAGGTTAAAAATCCAACCAAAGCACCATTTGGGGGATCAAATGAAATGTTTTATCTGAGTCAGAACAACTCTTGGTTCAGCTTTCCTTTTCAGTGACTAGACCAAAACCCTTGCTTCTTGTTCACCTTAGAACATGGCTGTTTGTTCATTATTTTTTTCTCTCCATTCAAACAGCATGCTCATAATTAGTGATTCACACAGCTCTGCTTACTGGCTCCAATAAAGCTGTGGGCAGCATCAGCCACGTGAATGAGGTGTAGGGCCTAACAGACACCCTAGTACAGAGCAGTGATCTGATAGTTCAGGAAGTCCTTACTGCCTTCCCCACCCCATCGCCTTCAGAGCAGCTCCTGAAGTTGCTGAGCATCCTCAGAGCACCCCACTAGTGCAGGGTAAGACCCAAAGGTGCTCACACACTGGGCAGGATCAGGCCTGCAATCAGCAGGAGCTACCCAATACTCATACATTTGGAGTAGTGTAGTAGCTGCACTTTTCATCTTGCAGTAGCATGTGGGCTGTGCCCTCGACAAACTGACCCAGGCCAGGCCTCAGAAGAGGGGAAGGGATGCCAAGGCAAAGCCAGCTCCTTAAGAGGAGAAGGGGACACACAGTGTTGAGCTCAGGGATCCAGTCATACGGTCTTCATAAACCTGTTGCCGTGGTTTCTAGGAACAGGCATATTCACCCACACAATTCCTAGAAGTCCCAGAGCTTGTAAACATGTTGGTGACAAGTTTCTTCCATATGACCTGCCTCTGAAGGACAAACTTCAAGGTATTCTTCATGCCTCAGGATTTTTAAATAGTGCTGTTTTCCCCTCTGGCAAAGTCTTATGGGCTGAGGTTCCATAAAGAATTCCAAGGTTGCTTCCCACCCACTGACCCTGGAATGAAAACGTTCATGCCACCAGCATGCAGCCTACTTTAGCTTTGCTCCAGCAACCAGATGAGAAATACATAGTGGGTATTGTCTACATGTGCATTTACTGCACAGTAAATTTACTGCACTTATGCTGTAGTGTACATGTGCAAGTATTAAAGCACGGTAACACTGTGTGTGGACTGACTGAGGACTAAAGTTAATCCACAGTCAGTCCACACACACAGTTTGATTGCGCAGTAAGGCATCTACCCGTGCATTACTGCACAGCATAGGTGACTGGTAGGGGGAGCACAGGGAGCACGTGCTGCCCCTGACAGAGCTGTCCCCCACTGCTGATGCTGCCAGCAGCTTCTGCAGGTGCTCACCAGCCCTGTCCCCACCACTGGCGTCATCGGCAGCTTCTGTGAGTGCTCGCCAGCCCCACCCCCACCACCAACGCAGCCAGCGGCTTCTGGAGGTGCTCGCTAGCCCCATCCCTGCTGCTAACACCGGCTTCTGTGGGTGCTCGCCAGCCCTGTCCCTGCTGCTGCCGTTGGCTTCTGAGGTGCCCCCCCAGACTCAGGAGGCACCAGTTGCCCATGCTGTACAGTAACTAAACAAACATAAATTTCATAGATTTCATAGACACTAGGGTTAGAAAGGACCTTGCAAGATCATCCAGCCCCCTGCCCAAGGGGCAGGAAGTCAGCTAGGGTCAAAGGATCCCAGCAAGATAAGCGTCTAAATGTTTCTTGGAAGCGTCCAGAGTAGGTGCTTGCACCACCTCTGAGGGAGTCTGTTCTAG